ACAATGCAAACCCCATCTCCAGAGTCGGCATTAAATACAATGGCTTTCCGTTTGAGACACCATTGAGTCTGACGTGTGTTTCCACAGGAATCACAAACTTATACTTTGAGAGCGATATTTGAGCCCTAATTATGCCATTGAAATAGGCTTTGATGGTGTCATCGCCTCCGGACTCAAACTCCCGGAGGAGTCCGACAGACATGTTATTAATGATCTTTAGTTTAATGGTTTGATTACAGAGTTTTGCCAATTCTTGCTGTAATTCTGAGGCAAATATGGACTCAATTCCGATCTCTCCCAAAGTCGTGTCCGCCGGAGTGGCCGACGGGTCGATACCCAGAGATCCCCACAACTTATTGATGAATGATTTCGAGCCCTCTTTGACTTCAGAGTCCAACTTTAACAGTGAGTTTTCCACTGTTTTCACCTGTTTTTTAACAACAAAACTTATTTATTGTATTATTATTTCATATGTTTGAAAACTAATGGTAATGTAATGTTTAAAAATCCATAACAATAATATTTAAAAGCATACTATTTGTATAGTTTGACCGTATAAATAGGCATAACACGAAAATAATAATTTCAATAATTTTAAGTACGAGCATTAAATACACTATTTATGTCTAGCAGTAACTAATGAAAATCATAATAATTATATACTTGTGTGAATGAATTCATACATACATTTACGGTTACGACCGGGTATTTAACGGCCAATAGTTTGTCCAATACTTCACAACACGAATGGATCCGTTGTTTCTGTGTTGTTATTAACGCCAATATTTGAGTCGATTCAGCCATAGACCCGACGTCACCGATCGGACCAAACTGTATGGCCAGACCCGACAGGCCGTCCCTCTGTCTCTGTTCGCAAATACGCTCACAAATAGAGTTACCGTAAGTATAGTTCAGTTGTCCCTCAGCTCCGAATCCCGACGAAAGGGACGAAATGATCACAAAATGGTCTAAATTATAGTCCAATTTTCGGGTCATTTGATCCAAATTCTTGAATATCTTTGCCTTTATGTCAACGGTTTTCATGAATGTCTCGAAAGACACTTCACTGAAGAGACAATTGTTTAACTCGAGGGCCAAATGAAAGACACCACCGATGGGTGCGCCCAACCCTTTGCACTCATCTAACAGAGACACTTCACTGAAGAGACAATTGTTTAACTCGAGGGCCAAATGAAAGACACCACCGATGGGTGCGCCCAACCCTTGGCACTCATCTAACAGTTGTTTTGTGCCCTCAATAGTGAAGCAATTGGCCGAAGAAACTAAGACCTGATTCTCGAAATAGTTGTGTCTTTTTCCAAAAGCCTTCAATCGATTGATAATATATTTCTGGTAATCGTTTTTAAAACCCGAACGGGAGGTCAACACCAATCTCTTCGCCCCGTTATATACCATCCATTGACACAACTCTAACCCAAAGCCACCCAAACCTCCGGTTATTATATAAGTCTTATTGGGGTTGAAGTAAGTCTTTGTACTGACAGTCAAAGTATTGGCCGGTTTTATGCGTTTCCACGGCTTTCGGTTCGCCTCCTCTTCACGAATACGGATAACTATTTTCCCGATATGTTTACCGGTAGTCATGTATCGGAAGGCCTTCTCGGCGTCTGCGGCCGGAAATACCGTCCGATTCAACGGTTTTACGCAACCATTGGTGCAGTTCTGGTGAACCCATGTATAAAACGCGTCAAATATGTAGTCCCGGGCCATAACACTCTCGTCCAGCGAAACACATATAACACACATATCTCTCAATAGGTTATACATCGGGAGCTTTTTATTGCGAAACAAATCCATTTTTCCCAACTCCACAAACCGTCCGCCTGTGCCCACACACTCGTAGCCGGCGTTCAACTTATCGCCGGCCAAAGAGTTGAGCACCAAATCCACTCCCCGTCCGGCAGTCGCGCGCATCACTTGACTCTTGAATTGCGTGCTTCTCGACGAGAATATCTTCTTCGCCGGTATTTTGTATGTATTGATGAGAAACTGTTTCTTCTCTTCGGTGCCGACCGTCGCGTATATATCGCACCCCAAGTGTTGGCACACATTAATGGCCGCCTGACCCACACCTCCAGACGCCGAATGGATTAATACACTCTCACCTGTGGTTTACATCAAATCATTGTTTACTAAAACATATAATTATATATAACTTATTGCAAATACACGCAAACCTCGTCTGAGATGTGCCCTCTCTATCAATCCATACCAAACCGTGAAATACGGGCTCAAAATAGTGACGGCCTCTTCGATCGACCAGTTGTCGGGTATAGTTGTGAACAAATATGGGTCCACACGAGTACTGGTGGCCACAGAGTTGCCAATATTGATACCCATAACCCGTTCCCCGGTATCGGCCCGACGGCCGGCAAACTCGTAGCCAATTTGCTGCTCAAATAGGTCTGAAAGCGCCGGTACTTTGCCTTAAAAACATGACAAACATTTTAATATACTTTAAACGATATATTGTTTAAATGTGTGATAATTACCGGTGACTATGAGTACGTCCCTAAAGATGATGGCCGAGCAGTAGATCTCGATTTTGACCGATTGTCTCTTTTTATTGGTCACGTCGTAGTAGTGGTCAGTCGTGGGAAGTGTTGTGATATCTCTCCACTCGAGTGACGACAAGTCGCGACCCTTTCCTAAACCCAAGTAATACTCATTTGATTGGATTTTATCGAAATCTTTGCCAAAACTCTGGTATCGATAGGAACCGAGTCTTCGATCTCTGATCACATTTGCCACCAAATCGTTGGCCAATATATCGCTGAATGGCTTTGTATTAAAGTCTATGTCTGTATTTGTATTGTTTTTGTCGTAAATGAAAATATATCTGAAGTATTCTCCGCCCGATTCCAGTCGCAGACTCTTTGCTAAACCCATGACTCCATTAATACACGAGTCGTTGGCAATGAGCCAAACCCGGGGACTGTCGGCACCCAATTCACTGGCCATCAGTAGTCTGTCCTTCAATACTGGGAACCATTGCTCGCATCTGTCGTTAAATTGGATCACATACAACAATAAATTTTACTAAAATTTCAAAACTCATCTAAATC